GGTGTTGAAGGAGAATATTGAAAGTGCCATGGGCTGCCAAAAGAACCAATAGATCCGTTTTGGAAGAAGTGCAGCCAGAGTGCTCCTTGGAGGCCAAGGTGGCCAAACTTCGTCTTTTATACTTTGAACATATTGTTAGGAGGGACCAGTCACTGGAGAAGGATATCATGTTTGGTAAGGTGGACGGTCAGAGAAAAAGAGGAAGACCTCCAACGAGATGGAATGGCCAAGTGGCAGCATCGATGGACTCAAGTGTGGCAACAGTAGTGAGGTTAGCCCAGGATAGGGCAGTGTTTCGTTCTGCTGTGCATAAGGTCACTATGGGTCGGTATCGACTCGATGGCACCTAACAACAACAACAACAACAACAACAACACACATTAAAGGTTCCCCCAGGCTACTCATTGTTGAATAAATGGATGAAAAAGTGTTGCAGAAAGTTCTAAAGGAGTCCCTTCCAACTGCTCTTCAGCCAGTAGACAAAGGAAGGAAGAGTGTTGGGTTGCAGGGCTGGTAAGATCTGGTCAATGAGAGCCCCTGTGGTCAGTCCCTCACTCCCCACTATATGACGGGGAGACTCTGTCAGACTGGAGTAGAGTGTCCAAGGGCACACAGCAGGCTAGTGGCACAGTCCAAACCGTGAAATCAAACCAGGCTCACTGCCATCGAGTCAATTCTGAGTTACAGGGATCCTACAGGACAGGGTACAATTGCTCTTTAGGGTCTCCAAGACTGTCGGTGTATACAGGAATAAACCAACTCATCTGTCTCGGGAGGAACAGCTGGTGGGTTTGATCTATCAACCTGTGGTTAGCAGTCTAATTAATACTTAACCTACTCTGCCAGAACAGCTCTAAGCCTGAATTCCCATTAGGGTTTCTCACCTGAAAAGACCCTTTCAGATTCGCTGGTGTTTTGTAGTCTCCTTTCATGACCTACAAAAGAGAGAAAGGAAAAATCACTCACATAGAAAAGACCAAAAAAGTCAAATATAGTCCAAATATAGCCACCCGGCCCCCTCCCCAAATCATCCATCCAACAAGTATTTATTTCTTGAGCTCACTTATTCCAACATTATTCCAAGCACTGGGTGTACAAGTTTAATAAGACAGAATGAAATGCCTGTTCTTGTAGAACTTCTAATTCTAGAGGAGGAGTCAGGCAATATATGAGGGGGCTTCAAAAAGATGTGGAAAAATGGAATTCAAAGACAATGGAGAAGGGTTACAGAATACCCACAAATATATATAGGTTTGATAGAGAATATGTAAATATAGGTATTTGCCTTTGCCACCAATATATCCATGAAAGTGGTAGAGCATACAGGCGGCAAAGTTACAAAAGTTCTTAGACATCACCAAGTATCCTGAGGGAATGAGTCACGGTGCCTGAGGCTCCAGACCAGGATCTCTTGGGGAACACCAAGGTCAACTGGCATAACAGCCCACAAAGACAACGCTTTACATCCTCCCTGGGTAAGTAGTGACTGGGGTCTACAAAGCTTGTGAGCAGCCATCTAAGATGCAATTCTTGGTTTCTCCCTGTTTGAATGAAAGAGGAGTAACAAAAATTAAAAATCTATTGGTCCAATGCACTTATGGACTATGTGAACATCACAACCCTGAGACAAGAGGGACTAAATGACATCCGGCTCCCACTACCAACTGCTCTGAAAGGGATCACAGTAGAAGGTCCTGGTTAGCATGGGAGAAAATGTGGAAGCAAATTAAAAAATCATGAAAAAACCAGACTTACTGGTCAGAGAAAGACTGGAGGAATCCCAAGACTATGGCCCTTAGGCACCCTTCAGGTCTGGAACTGAACTCACTCCCATGGCTCAATTTTCAGCCAAGCAATAGACAGATCTGTGAGCAGAACAGTAATACTAGGGAGGTAGGCACGTCATAGACCAACCAACCATTGGAGATCAAGAGGGCACCACTGACCCAAGGGTAAAGTTCAGAAGCATTAGGAAATGAAAAGGAGTGGAAACAGAAACACAGGGAGACTAAACCCAATGCCATCAAGTCGATTCTGACTCATAGTGACCCAATACAGGGTTTCTAAGACTGTAAGTCTTTACAGGAGCAGACAGCCTCAATGAGATTAAGACAGCTACATTCTGGAGAGAACCTGATCTGCAGGCATCCATTGATTGCAGAGACCTGGTTAAACACATTTTATTTGGACTACACCTATGCAAATATGACCCAGAAGCCAAGCTTCATCATTTTTTTTTTTCCTATTCCCTCTGGTGGGGGATGTACACAAAAACACTCAGGAATATATAATAATTTAAACAACCAAAGGGTACAATCTGCAAGTCTGACTCCTGGCCGTCAGCTTTCAGTCCCTCGCTTCCCATGAATCTAGAGTCCTCAACTGCTCCCTCTCTCCATGTCCCCATCTCTGGTGTTGCTGCTTCTCTGGATAAGGTCCCGAATTCTGCTTGTGCTCTTCTCCCTTGATGATCACAGGGTCCTTTGTTTCTGGATTGTAACTACTCCCCCATTTTTGTTACCAAACTTCTACCTTTACAATTGTGACAATCGCAATTAGTCATGATAACTATTACTCACTATTGAATTATAAGAATCTTATCCCCGTATCTTTAAAACAGACCCATTTAGACAAGATGAAATCTATTCAGTGGGGACTCTTTCTTCCCCCACACACTCCTTCTTGAAACCTTGTAAGCCAGTCACTTTGTGCCTTTATCACCCCTTTATTTTAGGTATCCAGTATCTAAGTTGCCCACCCCTATACACTCTGTGTACAGAGGGGAAAACATTGATACTTGATATGAAAACTCCTTCCCTCTCTGTTGGTATTTAGAGTTACTACCTCCATGAGTGTAGGTCAAGTTCATCAAATTGTAGCAATTTACCCTTGTTTCCTTTATCAAAAATGTTTTCTTTTTTAACTTTTTCTAGGTGAGTTCTGATTATCAAGCCATTGAGGCTAAGTCAAATGGGTACTGTCTGCAAGTTTGGGTGTTCTTGTGCATCTCCCCTCACTTCATATCAGCTGGATGCTTCACTCTCAGCTCTAGCCCTCTGTGGCTATGTCCTTGTCTATGGGCTCAGGAGTCCCCAGGTCTCACCACACTTTGGACCAACCAGCCTTTCCTCTTCTCTCATCTTCAGGTCAACGGGATGAAATATGATTTTCAATATAAAAATTATTGAGGTAATTTATACATATATACATGCAACACATATATATGTGTACAGTCAAAAATGCACCAGGTCACCTGGAGACACAACACTGACTCCAATGAACTGGGAGTTAACAATGGTCACTGTGGGCTCCTCAGGCTTTGGATCTTCAGGCAAAGACTTGTCAGTTCTCTCAGCCCTGTGGAGTCAACAGCCTGCCACGTGACCTTCTGAATGTGGAGTATCAGCTCCTACAGTCATGTGAGTCAGGAGAAGCCTTCAGTCTGATGCCTGACCCTCAGATTGGGACTTGCCAGTCTCCACAAGTATGTGACGCTGTCTTTGCAATTAATCTCTCTATATGGATTCTGGAGTCCTGGTGTGGCATTGTGGGTTAATGTGCTAGACTGCAGAGCCAGTTTGATTCTCAAGGTCGGTGATTCAAACTCACCAGCTGCTCCTCAGAAACCCTATAAAGGGTCGCTATGGGTTGGAACCGACTGGACGGCACTTAACAGCAACATATGGATTCCATTATCTTTCCACTCAATTTTTCCACAAGCTTTTGGTAGCCCCCCACGCCCCTTGTATTTAAATATATACACACACCACTGGTTTTGCAGATCTGGAGAACCCGAACCAAGTAAAGATGGAAATGAAGCAGTTACATGGTTCATGATGTGCATCAGATTGAAACAAACCCTACCTGCTTTCCCCGGCAGCCCGAGAGCCCCTTTCATGTGTGGGCATGCACACTCACCCGGTACGTATTGTTGATGACAATGGGGTCAGGGTTGCCGTAGTTGGGTGGGTTTGCATAGGGGTCATAGCCAAGTCGAGCCAGCATGGGGGCGATATGGGCCATGTCTCTCAACACGTCCCCAGGGATGTGGCCCGTCCATTTGGACAGTGCTTCCAGGTTCACAGGCTTGATGACTTGGTCTGTGGACCGCTCGATCCTGGGGAGAGAATACAGGCTGCACTGAGCAAGGCAGAGCCAGACAGCGGCCAGGAGGCCTGCCCTGCCTGGCATCGTCTCCATCAACTGGACTGCCGTGTCTCATGCTACCTCCGCTGTACAATGGGGATAAGAGTGTATGGTGGGGACTTAGAAGAAAGACGATGCAGTGCATCCAGCTGCTGAATAAATTCTGCCTCCTTGGTTTTGTACAAATAACCTTGTATTTATTCAACTACTGTGAAGATTTTGGTCTTGCAAAGAAAAAGGATCAAAACTTAAAGGTAACGCTCAGATTCACCATTCCTAGTCTCTTACTTCTCATGGGTACATGCTTTAGGAGTCTCTGGGCAGTGCATACGGTTATGTGAACGGCTACTAACCAAAAGGTTGGCAGTTCGATCCTAATCAGAGGCACCACAGAGGAAAGGACTTGTGGTCTGCTTCTGAAAGATCAGAGACAGGAAAACCCTACAGGGAGCACAATTCTACTCTGACACGCACGGGGTCACACTGAATTGGAATTGGACTTGAAGTCAGCTGGCTTTTCTTAGCATTTTAGAGAACATCTTACCCTTCAATCTTTTGTCTGTGCTTTCAGTGGTAGAATGGGGGTGATTACACTACTGGCTGTACACATCACCACTGCTTGGGTGACTCTGGGTAAGTTACTTCACCTCTCTAAGCCTCAGTTTCTTCATCCTTACAGTCAGAATAATAGTACCTAACTTATGGGGATGTTCTAAAGATTTAATACATTAATATGGGAAAAATATATGGCATATTATAAGCTCTCAATAAGTAACAGCAAACACATACATACACAGACAAACTATCAATCTATTACTTACTTTGTAGATTTCAAAACAGAAAGTCAATGCAATATGTATTACTATTCTGTAGC